AACACACCCAACTCTTCTGCCATTGCGAGAAGAACTTCATCATCATCATCATTGTTTTCACTAAGAAATGGAATTAATTCTTTTCTGGTCCTCTCCTCGCCAAGTGCCCGTGCAATAGTAGAAAGTTTCCGGATAGAGTTTAGCCGTAGTTGAATATCTTCATTCTTTAATTCATCTATCAGCACAGCTATTGGGTACAGCGGCTCATCAGTTGCAGCCATCAGAATAAACTAAATTCCCTGTAACTCCCAAAAACCAGAAAAGAAAAACGTAATTATAAGGATATATTACTAAGAGAAATAGAGTAAAATGTGGGCACAAATAGGCTGAATATTACTGAGAACAACATCTGCATGCGTACAGTGAGCATTTAAGTTGGCTCCCTGAATTAAAAACTGGTATAACCAATGTATCATTTGCTAAATGTTTCTCCTGAAGTCCATACTCTAGTATTTATCCTATTATGATGTTTAAATTAGTAAGAGTCACACTGTGCAAGGAAATGAACACATATTAACCCCTTTGTCTGACCAACTCATCAGATAGATTGAATTCAAAACATCACCACAATAAAGAAAAACACCTAGCTGACACCGCAAATTTAAACGATCAACCAACATCTGTCAAAAATTACAATGCAGCACTTTGTCTAGTGAATTAGATTGTCACATTCTAATCCGCTGACCTCTTTTTATGTTATACAGCAACATCCACTGTGACGAATTTTTACCTAAAACCATTAATAGCCAGTGGAAAAAAAATCTTAACCTGTTGCCTACTGCCTAATGTCACTTCTCCTTTATAACAAACTTCACTTTCCCCGCTCCTAGTCTCCTAAGAACCAATTCATAAAATTATTAGCAAGTGTTTATTTGAGAAATTAACTGGAATTACTATACAATTTGTCATCTCCTTTCTTGTTCTGGACAAGTGGCTTGGTTCACCTAATACACCGTTTTATTTTCCTTTACAAACAATATGCAATGAAAGAAGCAAGATAAGTATTTCACAAAAGTGATGTAATCACAGGGTTGATTTATCAGAGAAATGTGTGACTGATCCTTCACCCAGATGCATGCATTTATCTGGTCTAGCATTAACTTGTTGGTGCTCCGATGATCTTTTTGGACCACCAGAGCACCATATGGCAGATATAACACAATTTTCCATCAAGATCTATGTTTCATATGTAGAATATATAGGTGGCCCATATTATCGACATGCATAATTCTCTTATATTACCTCAACCAACAAAGCATCAGCTGAAAATTTTTCAATTTATACTGCATAGGCCTAGTTTGACACTTGGTCCCTTGCTTAGCATTCAATTGAGTATAAAACTTATCAGGTCTGACATACCAAGTTTACCAGGTCTGACTAATGAAAAACCCATATAATGCAGCGATACATCTTGAAAAATCTAAAATCAGAATACATTTAAAAGACACCATCTTGGCCAACTAACTTGGTCGGTGAATTAGACCTCTTTTAAAAGGATCAATGACAGAAGACCTACCTCTGGCTGCAGGTTCCATTATATATACTCACGATTGTGTTTCCCCTCTATAGTTGCATCTATCAGGATCCAATTTTATCAGTCTTATCACATTCCAGAAAAAGCTTATACTATAGTGATCTTAGCATCATTTAATCGAGATCCAAAAAGAGGAAACAAATATTAAAGCAAACTTTGACTAGAATAAGCTGATTCCCTATTTTGCCATCCCCGGCCCACCTAAACAAAAATGCCGCCTCCCTTCCTCTTTTATGGCCCGTTTTGCAATTATAATCACCCACATCTTCTCGAATCAAATCACAAGATGACAATCCATGTTGAGTACTCAGCATTGAGGTATTCACCGACACTATGTAGCGATGACATTAATCCAAGTACATGGACATTTATAGTCTAGTTCATAGAAACCAGCACGATTCAAGAGGCGAAACCTTCCTAATCAAGAATTCCTAGTTTCGTTACCCAATTGGTTAGCGGGCATAAACAATCTAAAGACAAATAACTGGATCGAAAGCACTGTATCGAAGAAGCCACTCCCAACATTGCCTGGAAAAACAGCCCGCAAAAAATCTAGAGAATGGATCTTTGAGATTTGGAAAGACGAAGGGAGATCGAGAGATCCAACCGAGGGGTCGTACCGAAAAGAGGAAGAACAAGAAAGATCGATTGCCCTCTCGCGTTTGGAGGCGGCGATTTGGATTGGCTTCGGCGAAGGACGCGGACGAGTCGGCAGTGCCCTCTGTGATTCGTTACGGTGAAGGAAAAGTATACGCAGGTAACGGAGACTGGCGTGGCGAGGAGGGACAGAGAGCACACACAGTGAGGCCCTAAAGGACCGGGCCGTGGCCCATTTATGTCCTGCCCGCTTATGGAGTGAAATGAAATGAACTTGAAATGCAAAAGTAGCCATGAACAGAGATTACAAGTGTTCTCAACCACACTCAAAAGGACTTGCTCGTTTTATTATTCTTCATATTTTCTTGAATTCTTCCTTTTTCTTTCATAGTCATTTGCACTCCTTTTATTATTTTCATAAAAGAATACTTCAAAAATGAGCTTACATTAAATTTTTTTATAAAAAATAAATGATGAAGATATCTTTTTTTTATCTATGAAAATGGCTAGCACGTTATAAAAATATATCGGATGAAGTTATGTAATTATTTTTTAAGTAAGCGACGAAAGTGAGAGTCGAGCTTAAGATCTTACGATAAACTATTAAGATATCTATACTAATCAAGCTAATCAGTAGCTTAAAAAATATGATTTACACTAATAAATTAATTTTTAGTTGTAAAATATGTTAGATAAGATTTTAAATAAGCGACTATCAATCGCATCAATATTTAATATATATATAATATATATTTATATAATGATTCTTGTGTAATTTTCATGCATCCAAATTCCGTGACTGGTTTTTCTGAGTGCAAACATCAGCATAGTGGTAATGAAGGAAGCTTTTGTCATTCAGAAACGACGCATTGGATGTTTTGGTTTTGCCAACATTCTCAGAATACGGATTGCAGGACCTGTGGGCGTATCATTCGCAGTCGTAAGCGGTGAAGGACAGATGGCAGGAGCGTTCCCTCCATTGATGGAGAGAGGGTGCTTCCGTATGTTACGTTCATTTAGCAGCACCACGGCAGATCTTGTGTTGCCTTGGATTCTGAATCCCATAAGCCAAAGCAATCGATTCCGATTCCAACACGTCTCCGTGTGGTGCAGAAACCACTGTTCTATCACTCGTGGTGTGTGAGATAGATTTCTGCGAGCCTCGTCTTATTTGAGATCGGTTCAGAGAGCTGCTGTGATCATGGCGGAGAGCAGTCTCCACGTTGTTCTGTTCCCATGGCTGGCCTTTGGCCACTTGATACCCTTCCTCGAGCTCTCCAAGTCGTTAGCCAAAAGAGGCCACCATGTCTTCTTCCTATCGACCCCAAGAAACATCAGCAGGCTCCCCAAGCTCCCTCCCTCTTTAGCTCCATCCATAGACTTCGTCCCCATCCCTTTGCCGCCATGCGAGGGCCTCCCCGACGGCGCAGAGGCCACCAGCGACCTCCCACGGGAGAAGGTCAAATACCTCAACAAGGCCTTCGATGGCCTCGAGCAGTCCGTGGCCGAGTTCCTCGTGCAGACGTCTCCGAAGCCCAGCTGGATCATCCATGACTATGCTCCATATTGGCTGCCTCTGATTGCAACCAGGGTGGGCGTCCCGTGCATCTTCTTCAACACGTTCCCGGCCTTCGTCAGCGCGTTCTTCACGGGACCAGGTGGAAGAGGGATGCAGCGGCCCGTCGAGGCGTTCACTACGCCGCCGGAGTGGATCCCCTTTCCGACCAAACTGGCTTATCGAGCGTACGAGGCCCGCAGCCTTAGTGACCACGTGAAGCGAGACGACGTCTCGGGAGTGTCGCTGGTGCGTCGAATCGAGATGGTTGGCAAGGGATGCGAGCTCATGGCCGTACGCGCGTGCACCGAGTTCGAACGTGAATGGTTAAGCCTTCTTCGAGAGCACAACGAGAAGCCGGTGATTCCAGTAGGCCTACTTCCTCCTTCGATCAAGGACCGGAGTGGCGAGGCGAACCAGGGTGCCAACACAGGGGACATCTTCCTCTGGCTGCGCGATCAAGCTCCTGGATCTGTTCTTTAGATTGCCTTGGGGAGCGAGGTCGCGCTAAGCGCGGAGCTGCTGCGCGAGCTGGCCTTTGGAGTGGAACAGGGCGGCCTGCCATTCCTCTGGGCTCTCAGGAGGCCGGACGACATGGAAGCGTTGCCGGAAGGGTTCGAGGAGCGACTCAAGGGGCGCGGTGTCGTCGCCTTTGGGTGGATTCCTCAGCTCCAGGTTCTGGCGCACGAATCCGTGGGCGGATTCCTGACGCACTGCGGCTGGGGATCTCTCATCGAAGGCCTCGCCTTCGGCCGCCCGCTCGTCCTCCTACCCATTGCTTTTGACCAAGGCCTTAATGCGCGACTAATGGAGGAGAAATCGTTGGGGGTGGAAATAGGAAGAGACGAGGAAGACGGGTCTTTCACAAGGGAAGCAGTGGCGCACGCAATTGGACTGGTTATGGTGGAGGAAGCAGGGAAGACAATTAGAGACGCCGCCAAGGAGATGAAAGATGTGTTTGGCGATACAGAATGCCATGAAAAGTACGTGGATGAGTTTGTTCAGTATCTGCAACATCATAATAATTAGATGTAAAGCAATCTTGGACTTGTTTAATTCACGTCAAAGCTCGACCGACATCCAACGCAAACTAATTGAATCTTTTGAGCTGTGATATCACACAGGACGAGGAGCTGTGTTCCAAGTATAAAGAGAAGCAGATGAGATGACAAGCGTCATGCTGTGCGCAGACAACAAATGGCTAAAGAGAAGCTTTAATTTGCACTCGAGAAAAGAACCAGAAATGCAACGAGCAGATACAGTAGCGTCAGAGGTCAGTTTGACAGATGGAAAGGCTTCGAGAGATCGATCACCTTCACAGAAATGTAGGAACTCTAGCATCCATTGCTTACAGATGTAGAACCCATACAGTCGAGTTGAGAAAACAACAATAGAAATACAAGCAGAATCACAACATGTATAGAAGAAGATCACTGAGATTCTAAACAGCATTCAGAAGCTCTACACTTGCCCTAAATACGATAAGAATTCCAGTTTTGAAAGCTCACTAGAAGAAATCAAATTCCAGGTAGTTATCAGAACCTTTCTCAGAGGTGAGGCTGGCCTTCTGGCTTGCTGATGCTGCAGTCCCTAGGGGCCGAGCGATTTCGAAGGGCTTGGGGATCTCGGGAGGACTTGCACATCTTATCAAGGCCCAGTTGATACCCTCAAAGAACGGGTGTTGCTTTATCTCTGTAGCCCCACGTTTATAAGCAAGCCGGTGTTGCGGATCTTTGACAAGCAATCCCCTAATGAGATCCCTGGCAGCGAAGCTTACGACTGGAAACTCTGAAAATCGCAATGGTTGACCCACCACATTGAACAGTGTAGCACGGTTGCCTGAGCCCTTGAAGGGTGTCTTCCCGAACAAAAGCTCATACAGGAAGATGCCAAACGTCCACCAATCCACTGCACTACCATGCCCCTCTCCCTTGATGATCTCAGGGGCCAAGTACTCATGGGTACCAACGAATGACATAGACCTTGCATCTGTAGGCTCTGCAACGAGTTCAGGGAGTGCGCTGACCTGGTTTCCAGTATCACACTTCTGTTTCTGTTGTTTCTTGGACTTTGAGGAAAAAAGCCGAGGGGAGAAGCATGTTGTTGGGACCACACAAGAAGGTTGGACACAGGATGGTTCGATACACGCAGGCTGAACACAGTAAACAGGGTTGTTTCTTCTGAAGGACTCAGAGTTGGGGTTGGAGGATTTGACGAGGGTGGGGTTAACAGCACAACGGAGGGAGAGGTCAAAGTCAGAGAGCATGATGTGGCCATCTTCTCGGACAAGGACATTCTCTGGCTTCAGGTCACGATAGATAATGCCCAGCATGTGCAGGTATTCTAGAGCAAGGAGGACCTCCGCTATGTAAATCCTGCATTTGTAAGAAAACAAACAGAAAACGGTCATAGATCACAGGCATGGTCAATATGCGTTCAGGACTTCATGAAAAGTATGAGACAGTTACATTTAAAGCATAGCAATACTATATATCTGGTTTACAGCTACATTGGAGAACATACAGATCAATCATGTCTCAAAAAGTTAGGACGTCCGCAAATTCAACCTCAATAAAGAAAATAAGGTATCATAAGATTGTTAGCTCTAGTCATTTAAGATGTTAGCCACAAATACAAAAAGTTGCATGAACAAGCAAAAGAAAGAGAAAGAGAGAGAATTATACTAAACCCACCAGTTGATCATGCAAAGATGCAATGGAACAAATAACAAATGCACATGTAGCAAATAGCATTGGTGTACACCAGTTACGGAATGCCACTAGATGAAAAAGACGGCACAACTTGGTTTTAAGAAACTGACATTAGATTGCACTCCCTAACTGGTGCTTCTCTACTTTGACAAAAAGAAGAAGCCTCCCAAAGAGAATTTAAGGGAAAATAAAAGAGATCTCATTGCTGGAATTTCCAGACAAATACGACAAAAAGGATCCCAAAGAGGCTACTATGCCTATATATTCAGGCTAGTATTGCCTATTCCTTGTCTTAGTAGGCTAACTATGATTTAAGGCTAGAAATAACTAGAAGAGATAGTTCATATGCTGAATAACTGCTGTTGTCCATCTGCGATGAGGCTTTCATAGCTATCAAATGTTGCTCTCCTAGAATAGAGAGAGCTGCAGGCCCTGTTGGGAGTCCAAACAGAATTCAGAAACTGGAGTTTACTCCAAACAAGGGCCTCATACACCTGTCCGGCTGCTGCTAGGAGTCAAAGACCCCATGTCGGACAAGGAAAAAAGAGCTTGTACTGGTCCAGACTGGGCCCTTTAGCTCCTGCTGACTGCGAGTAGGACCCGACTGTTCACCAAAATGGTCACTGTTTCATTGGATATCTTCTTGTGTCAATTAAATTGAACCGTTCTCGGGGCTGGTCAGATGGGAGTGGATTAGCTGGTGTGGGTAGTTGCTGATATGGACATTGCCCTTTGTCACACTAGCGAAATTAGAATGTGATATCTTCTGTGCAACTAAGTTTTATGCTTCTTTGATGGAACAAAATATTAATATACTATACACTAATTACATAAGGATGTTATGGCTGTCTAGATTCTTAAAAGCAACAGCAATATGATTCCCAATCTAGCTACATACCAACTAGCCAAGTTGGCTACTTACTGGACCAGTTCAATGTATATGGTATGCCAGCACAAACCAGACAGCCTGTTTATTTGTCAAATGAGGACCAGGACGTACCAACCTAGTTCCTTAGTACAGACACTACACGATATTAGAATCATGGCCAAAGCCACTGTATCTTTTCCTATGTTTTGTAGCCAAGTACATTATAACTTTAATACAACAAACCAATGAGTTGGGGTCAGCTATATGAATCATTTCCCACTACTAAACTCTAAGGGCGTACCTAGTGCACAAGGCTCCTTGCCAATGCAAGGTTTGAAGAGGGTTAGTGTATGCAGTCCTAGGATTATTTCTATAACTTGAACCATGGTCTCCCAGATCGCAGAGGAGCAACAATGATCACTCCTCCCACTATTAGACTCTATGTAATGCAATGTCTCTAGTTAACTCATATATGAATTTTCACTATGGTTTTATCCTTCCTAAAAAGTTCAGTTTCACCTCAAGTAATATGTGCAGTTGTGCACTTTCAGATTCTTTTTGTATGTCCAAACCATCTAAGATAACTTTTCTCATTTTTGTCCTCCATTAATCTCATCTCTTCTTTTTAACAAATGCATATTTCTCATACCACCCTATCTACTATATTTTGCAACACCAGGTATCTATCTTGTCTCAGCAATCCCATTTTGACTACGCTAACCCTTCGGATAGGATATGTTATGTTCAAAAAACCAGTATACTAACTATGTAATCTACTGCATGACATCATTATGCATATACTAAATGGTCTGATCTTTGTCACTTTACAGTCAATTGTTATGCAGCTACTCGTCCATTTTGTTTGGTGCATGATCTCTTAGATGGTCGGCTACAGGAGAGTTAAAGTATTAAATTTAATCAGAAGTGATATCAAAAACATGCTTCTGGCAGGCTTCATCTAAGTTACTCTAGGCAAAAGCCTCGTGCCCTCTCGAAAGCCCAAGCAACTAAAAAGCCTGCATATAAAATTTTGAACATTTCTTTGTCAATAATTTGTAAGATCTATGGGACATGAGATCAAATTTAATGAAATCCTAAGATGAATGGGAAGTCCTTTTTTCTCTGAGAAAGGAAAGGACCAACTGGTCAATATTCTAAAAAGCAATCACATGAAACTTTTAATCAAGTACCAACCCAAATAAGAAACATTCTAAGTTTAAAAGAAATTGGTTTACAATAAATGATGATCAAACTAAGAATTGATGTGTGTGATCACATTCGTACTTAATGAGAACTACTTAAGTCATAAGAACCACGAAATAGGTATATTATGAGAGAATGTAGCATTAATATGATTCATGTATGTTAAGAGGAAAAAGCAGTAACATAAGCAGTTGAACTCCTAGAAATACCTTTGTGCACTCCATCTACTCGTATTGTATATTCATGGAATTGTATATGTGATCCTACATATAAATATAAATAAGTGCTGCATAAGCCTAACGAATCGGTTGCAAGACCCATGCCGCCAAATTAAGCATAGCCGGAGAATTATAACTGATACTGCAGAAATATGCCACTACTAAGAAAAGGAGATCAGAGTGACTGATTTTCACACTATCAGATAAACAGTTGTCCTCTTCTTTTCTCCTTTCTATTACTTTTTCTTCTTCCTCTTCCCTTGTTACCATTACTTTGTTTCCTTTCCATTTGTGTTATTATCATTCGAGCTATTAAGATAAAACCAATATTTGGATTAATTATATAAGTGAATGGTGGGAACAACTTTATTTTATTTGTTTTAATTTAAAATATTTTTTTACATAGTTCTTATGCCAGCTGTGCCTCTCCTCATCCCTTCCATCTATTTGACCCTTATTTTCCCTTCAGCCTTCATAATTTTTATTTTCCAGTTTGGCCATCCTTTAAGCAGTCTAAAAGCTGAGGCAGAAGGTTTTCTGTACTCATGATAATTCCACAATACAGACCAACTTCACAGAATAAGACACCACAGATCCACCATAGCATGCATAAAATTCTATCATGGACCTAATTGAACTAATGATGCTATATTCAGTTGTCATGAATTCCACAAATATTCAGTGTGTACATTCAATATATCCAATAAGATATTTAAATTGGCTAGATTAATGTCAATTTGTAATCAAGTTTCTTTTATGATGTCAGATTGCAAACAGTGTTTATAATAGAGTGATCCAATAAGGTACAAAAGAATGATTTGATAAGTTAATCAAATGAAAATTTCATAGTATATTTGATATATTCTTATTCTTACAAGTATGTTCATAAAATTCAACTTCTGCCAATCATATGACAACCGTCTGCACAAAGTTACACCCTTAATCAAATAAAACTAAAGGTCAAGTAAGAAAAAACATAATGAGATTATTTCACATTATCAGAAAAAGCCAAGTTTATCATAAGTGAACATTAAATGAGTCACAAGTTTTTGATAAGAGGGCATAATTATCCATGCAACAGATGTCTAAATAGAAAGAACAAGAAGAAAAGGGAGCTAGATCCATACTTGGCAGCTTGTTCTGAGAAATATTTTCCAGGCTGCCTCTGTCTAAGTGTGTGCAGATCCCCTCCTGGACAGAACTCCATTACCAAACATGAAAACTTGTCTGTCTCAAAGTGAGTATACAATGTTGGAAGAAATGGGTGATCAAGACATTGCAATATCTCCCTTTCTGTCTGGGCTCTATGCAGCTTCTTACGACTTGCTAGAGATTGTTTATCCATAACCTTCATTGCGAAATAACATTTTGTCCCGCTCAACTCTGACAAATAGACACTACCTATGTCTCCACAACCCAACTTCTTCAGTAGCCTGAAATGATTCAAACCAAGAATTCCATCTCTAGCCCTTATCGTTTTGATCGCTTCCCATCTTGAATCATTTGATTTGTGAGGCTTGTTGATGCTGCTGCTTATGCTGCTACAAGTGCTATCGTCGCTAACATCACTGCTTGTACTGCCCCTGCACATACTACTCTTGCCGCTATCAATCCGGTCACTTATTTTAGCACTTCCACTAGTCTTTGTCAGACTGCTGGTTCCATCACTAACTTTAGCAGAAGCTGAGCTATATTTCTCACTGCCCTGCCCAGAGTTTTTCTTTTCTTCATATCTGTTGGTTTCCAAACTCACCGTCCCGTTCAACTGAAGCAGCTCGTTGACATCACCTTGTTGGACGGATTGCTTCATAGTATTGGAAGATGTATCCAAGGAAATATGCTCTAGAGATCTGGCAACCTTTTGAGTGGTTTCGTTCGTTGAAAGGTTAGCAGCTTCCTTTTGTTGGTGATCCAAATTTTGGCCCTCCAAAACTTGTTCAGTTTTAGGCTTTTGTGTGCTCTGCTGCATAGATTTTGGCAACCTTGTTGGTGTATCAGACTCCAGTTTGCTTGGATCAGGTAACTGTAGAGGTGAAGGTTGCAAAGAAGCCTTTTCAACTACTTGGCTACCAGGTACCTTGTGTTGCTGTTCTGAGAGAGGTTTGGAAAGTGTCTTTGAAGCCATTAATCCAAACAGTCAGTTTTATACTTATTCAACAAATACCATGGAATATGTACTTCATAAAGCTGAAGAAGCTCTTCAACTTTAACCCATCAATAGGTACACCAGAGGATGTCTTGCCAGCCAAAAACAAGTTTTAGATTTAGGATTCATAGCAGAATAATGAAAATGTTGGCAAAGAAAACTGCATTTTTCATAAAATTATAGAACATTGAAGCAACATATCTATTGCACACGAATGATCCTATACATAAGCAGAGCAAGACCAGATAAAATCTTTTCAGGTAATTTAGAAAAAAATTATCTACTAAATTCACCAGATAAAATCTTGGTGTGCCATCCGAAAGTGCTACATCCAAGGACAAGAGTGAAGGAAATCAACCGTCTATCCTTTATAAGGACACATAAGGGATAAAGCTTGAAGCACAAACAGCAATAGCATATGGATCAAATGCCACCCAAGGAAACCAATTAACCAACCAATTCGCTCAAGATCAAGCCGTGAGATTACCGGGGAACCCTCACAGACAAAATTACGAAGAATTCCAAGGGAAACAAACGAGGAACAAGAGGAATCAAGCAACACAATTTCAGGTAGACAGCGAGAGCAAACAAGCCACAACAAGATCCCATCTTTTGCGTAACCGAAACCAAGAACGCGTCGAAAGATGCTTTCCTAGCACGAATCGTGGCAGCGAGTGCGATCAAAGAGGACGCCCATCCTCCCGAGATTCGACCCGCTTGACGATTAAAAACAAGCAAAGAAGGGTGGGGGGGGGGGGGCAAAGGAGGCCGACGGGAGTACCTAATTCCCCAAGATCGCGGTCGTTAGGGTTCCTTCTGGCTAATGAGATGCTGCTGTACCAGCACGACTCCTAGTTTCCAAAGATTTCAGCTTTAGGGCTCCTCTTGGCTGCTCGGATGGGAGATCTACCTGTCCATTCCCCCAATCCTCAGTCAACAGTATCCACAAAGAGAGAGAGAGAGAGAGAGAGGGGAAAGGTGATAAGAAAGTCGAGTGATGTGAGAGGAGTGTGAGAATTGGCGCATTAGTAGTAAGTAGCCGTGAAGGGCTGCAGCCAAATACCAGAAATGTGCAGTTCGCGCACCCCCAAAAACCCATCAGCCATCACCGACCGTTGAAGGGAGGAGATGGAAGGATACAGTCTCATCGGCATTTGCATGTGCATTGATGATTGATGTCCATTTATTGTTTTTTGATGCAATCTGGAATGGGTTTCCCACTAACTCACTCACTCACTCGCCTGTGAGCCAACTCATTTGGTGGGACTCATTCCCTTTGGTGCCAACTATCCTATCCATTGGTTTGAAGTAATAGCTTTTTAGCTTGTCCTCCTTAAATAAGCTCCCATTGCAGCTGACATTAACATATGAGAATTTGTTGTGGAGAAGTTTGAGAATTAAAGATGCTAATTTCCCACTCAGATGTGTTCCTCTTATAAGTTTTTAGACTAAAAAAAAAAAGAAATCTTGAACTTGGCATATTTTTTTATTTTAAATCACTATTCAACTTGAAATGAGAATCCAAAATCAAAAGAGAAATCTCATAGATTAATAACCAAAATAATAAATCATAAAGTTGATTTATGTATATATATATATATATATATATATATATATATATATATATAAACTCAAGAATAAATTGAGTTATGTATCCTCTTACATAAATTCTGAAGAATTTATATAATCATTTTCTCTCATTATTTTTAAATTTATTAGAAATAAAAACCCCTCGTCGAAATATAAAGTGATGTGTGATATTTATAGTAATAAATTCTGATATATAAAGGACTTGTTGATTTAAATAATTTGAATCCTAGTAGGATTTCTAAAATACTTATATAATATTTTATAGATTAGTAAATCGAAAGTACATGAAGAGTGATTCCATTTGTCATCCTTGGAACATGGGAAGCATGAATATCTAAATTCTTTACGAACAAATATAGTTGGAAGAAGGTATTCAATTTATGCATATTTTTTATCCTCAGATAAAAGTTCCATATCATCTCACTAAGATGCAAATCTTAATATGAATCTTCGATTGTTTTTTGTTTATCTATCTTTTTATTATTAATATATGAGATTTTCTTTCTTTTCCTTCTCGATAAGATGGTATCAAGATCTATAATAGATATTCAATAAGGATGCCTCAAGTTGTTTTGTATGTTTTATTATAAAAAAATAATTCTATCATGTGGCAAAGGAGAAATAGTAAAAATATTAAAAGACGAATTGGAAGGAGTATAAATTGAAGTATTTTTTTTATAAAAAGATTAAAAAAACTCAGAAATTATCGAGTTAACAAGCATTTTTAAATTTCATAAACCCGAGTATATATGAAGGATAAAAATTTAAAATCTTCGATGTGTCAGCAACTCGAAGCTGCATTAAAGGATAGAAATCGGAGCTCAGAGTTGGGATTTCTGTTGGGACATGATATTTTTATGCATGGAGGAGATATTTGAGGTTGGAAGGCGTGCGTGCTCTACGGCCAAGTAAACATTCGATGATGGTCATGATGGACACTACTAGTGACGACCACCAGCTGGTCTCTGAGATCTGAAACCAGTGTGTCATGCACTGGCACGTAGCTGTTCCAGTCCTTTGATGGAAGGAAATAGCTCTCTGCGAAGTCTCAGATATTACCATCACGCCACACCCTTATTATTGCACCGGATGATGCTGGCGATGATGCAACATAGGTAGGCAAATCAGACACTCCTGCCAGCCATTACAAGCTTGTCATGAGAGAGCGTGGAAGTAAGCACTCACAGCCACAGAGGGAAAGAGTTTTAGTTAATGAGAGTAATGATTGAAGTATTGTTCTAAGTAAATGGATTCTCTCACATCCTCCTAGTGTAACATTAGATGTCAGCTTCAAGTGGCACAAAAATAAAGACTTTTTTTATTTAATTTTATTTTTAATATTTTATTCTTTCAAAAAGTATATTAAAATCTTTATACTTACGAAAGTTAAACATTTAACCTCGTTGTTCTAACAATTTTTTTTAAAAAATTTAATCCTATAAAATTATCTTTTTTTAATCATATATAGAGATCTTAATATTTTATTTTTATAAATATAAAAATTTTAAAAATTAAAATTAAAATACTAAAGATAACGAATTATAAGAGAATAATAAATATAATTAACATGCAACTACTAGCATCTTGTCTCTTATTTATTTTGTGAGGATAAAGTTTCATGATTGTGAATTGTTTTGTAAAAATATCCAGTGACTAGATTCTCTCTTAATCAAGTGATCTTAAATGGAGTAGAAAGAGAAAAGAAGGGAGGGGCTTCAAAATGTATGGGTCAAATCTGATGATGAGGCACATGGCTATCAATTTTTAAATGGTACCTCAAGATCCTGCTAAAAATGCTCTCCATAAAGTTTTAGTAGGTGTTCTTTCGTCACGAACGCTTATTCTCTCAACAGAGAAATTTTGACACCACTATTTTTCTATGGCTATAATTATACATCTTTAACTCCTTGATAAATAGTGATAGGTATTCTAATGGCAATCTTGAAAAATGATCTTTTTAGATGTTGATAATGACAAGCAATTCTGCACAAAATGTTGTTGGCGTAACACAAAGCATATTCATATTCATATGCGTATCTTCCAATGGAGATAAAGAGTCACCATCCTCGGCAGCAACTGCCTAATGAATGATGTGAAAACACTGGTTGGATATGCCCAACCACATTATTGTGGAATAACTCGTCACCATCTGAGCCAATACACGACGTCCTTCTGGTCGGTCCAGCCCAAGACTACGTCGCTATCGCGATCAATTAGACTTTAGAATCACACACGCACACACACAGTAAATTTACTTGAGTGAGGCGAAATCAATTGCAAAGGTCATCAAGTTAAATTAAACTAGGCCTTCAAAGTCACCATCCCTTTCAGACTTTCAAAAGTTAAATAAAGTAACTAAAAAAAAGGTAAGCGAATTATCAAGAAAAGGTTCTTTCATTTTCTTTTTACTTTTTTCTCAACAGCTGTTCTTTTTTCACATTTTCAAATGGCATTCCCTATTTGGATTAATCTCTCAAATGTCCAGATAAATTAGAGGGACAATTTATTGCATGTTATGTTATGGACTGGTCCATAGGATGAATTGGTTCACTCTCCTATGTACAAGATTATAATATTATTTTTGAGTAGTCTTGTAATATTTTTAGCACCTTCATCAAGACACTAACAAGTCTATTCAAAAATAAACTCAAGGCCTAATAGAAATCAACTAATGAAGTATGATTTTAAATAAGTATCCTTATTGATTTAGGATTAAAAAAAAAACAAATAAAAAAAATTATTTCACATATATTATTTTTGAATAGAACTACAGCGTGTAAGCATCACTAAATACTCTAACTAAACAATTAGATTAGTTCACTCTATAAATCGATCCATAGGCTGTGTCATACTCCTACAGTTGTACCGTCAAAGGAGATTATAACATATAAGGGACATCCTTTCAAAAAGATAAAAAAATGAGACAATTCATAGAAAAGAAATCAGAAAAGACTTTGTTGAACCAAGTAATTCTTTCATGATTTTTTTATTAATCACATCATTTTCCTTTGGTCATAACTCGTTTTCTGCACCTCCAAAACCCTAGCCTTCTTGTCAAATGTTCCTAGGTGCCAGATCACAGAATAGACTCTTTCTATCAGTATGGATTTTGTTCTCGTCGTCTATCTATGGCTCAAATATTTGTATGAATTTCAAGTCAAATCTATTCTATGACAATTTATTGAACAACCTAATTTGTTCTTGAGCTCTGCTTTCTTGTAAACAAGCTCACAGGACACTAATCTAAATGTTCATGTATGTCCTATATGCCGTTACACCATCATCAAGCAGTATTAAGTTCAACTGCCTTCTCCTTTGCTAGAGAAACCGAAGGGAAAAAGAAATTCTACATACCTATATATTCTCACTCTCCAGTGCTGAGACCATGAAACTGCTTCGGATGCAAGCCACAGCTTCAACTCACCAGCTCCACATTGTACTCCTTTCCACATCGACATTTGATGATATGTGAGATGTTCTGTGAAACACAATGTCAAAAAAATGTATAGAAAAAACAATGTGAAAGATGACAAATCAGAGAATCATCATTCAGCATCATGATCCAGGAAATTTATGTTACCAAAATTTGATAAAGCTACTGTAAGATGCCCAAGATCGTTTGAATCCCTTATTTTTAAGCCAAAGGAGTAACCACCATAGGCCAAGTCGGACTCATTTCAATGCAGATTGCAAGTTTCACTCTTGATTATTTGCATAGAGTAAGGATCCAATAAAATTGCCAGATTAAACCATACATCATATGCAATCGCCTTCATCAAAATCCCTATTCCTAATGATAGTGCTTATATTAAGTGGAGGAGAAAGAGGTGGCTCTACTAATGAGAAAGAGTGGTTCTGTTATAAGAAACAAATTGAAAAGTTGGAAACTCAAAAGTACAAAATCTCGGCCAGCCAGGAACTGGAGAAGAAAAAACTTTCTTCCCGATATGAGATTCGGTAACCCTTAATACTAAGGGATAGCAGAAAACAACTTGTCTTCCCCGACTTGAAAAGATGCAGTCATTGTTATGAGATTGTATACAAAAGAAAACCTTATTACCTTCAGTTGTTTAATCCGTTCCTTTAGAGACTGCAAGTACTCCAGCTCCCCAGCTTTATCAGCCACCAAAGATCTGTGTTCCTCTTCCAAGGCTTTGACATCCATTTCCCTCAGTGCAGGCTCCATGCAGTAATGTTAGTTCATGAATACATATTAGACAAGAAATTTGGCAATACTTGAACATGGAAAACGGTGATGAGTAACCTAATGTGTCATTTGATGTACTCACAGGGGCTGCCTGCAATTTGTAACTCATTTCCTCAAGCAGCTGCTTGGACTGATATGAAAAGAAACCGCACCACTTGATTCTGTAAGTTGTACCCTAGAATATGTCTTGATACTGTCAATTGTGATAAAAGTGTATACCTTAATGCTATCTCTAGCAACTTCAGATTTTTTTGCCTCTATTTCTGCAAGTTTGGTTTTTGCAGACTCCAATTCAATTTCCAAATCCTTATTTCTCCCACTGGTGTCATTACCCTGTAAACAATGGACAATAACCACATTGAAATCTGCAAAAGATGAAAAAGAAACCAAAATTTTCAAACCGTATTCCCCAAATTTGCTCCCATGGAGGGCACAGCATTCCCACTCCCTGCATATAGGAGATCAAGTCGATTGGTGCATCAATCAAAGATCAGAAATATTGCTTTAGAAAGGGGCTACCTAATTTATGTGGTTGCTAACATTTATGCCGTGTAACACAAGGATCCAAGGTTGAAAGTTATTGGAGGAATAAGAAACAAAATCATTAAAAGCAACTTACTGATGGCAAAAAATCCAAGAAAAGATAATTAATTACCTTTGGTCTGAACAATTTCTTTATCTACATTATCATCAACCTGTATTAGTAACACATTCATTTAGTTGCTAAAATATGTCAAATTCTATTCTGCAAATTATAGATTCTGCTATAAGGTCAATTTTCTTGACACTATAAAAACAATCTGGTTGTCTACAGGAGGATAAATTCAAGGAAAAAGTAATTACAAGTGGACTCTGGGGGGTCATAGTCTTATATTGAACTGTGGAAGAAATCTCAAAATTTTTCGGAAGAGGATAATGATATAGTTTAAATGCCAGGTTAGGTTGTTAAAACTGAATCATGTGCAAACGATGCAGAAACAAGCTTAATAATATCTAATCGGCAATTGATTATTTTCTCTTGAAGAAAAGTAAATAAGATATTCTTCCCTTCCCTAAAACTAAAAGATCAGATACAATTCCCTAAACATCTTAAAATAATGATAAACTTACTGATGCAGCATCTGCTTTCATCTTCTGCCTTTTTGAGTTGTACCACTCCTAAAAGCAGGAGGAAAAAAATATCTTTAGTTTCATTCTTTAAATTATTGATAACTCAAAAATACAAAGCTGCAGGAAATATAGTAGACTACATGAGCTCTGGAAGACAGTAGTCAAGCCTACCTGTTGTTCCCGTAATTTGAGATTCAAGTCTTCGGTAACCCTTGCATAGTATGATCTATGGAAAGTGGACAACATTTCTTGGGCAATGCCTAGAAACAACCAAAGAAAGATTTCAACTGAATATAAACCTCTTTTCTTTATGTTTCAGCGTTGTGGTGGTCATTTCTTGTTGGAGAAGCTCCAAAGTCTGCAATTCAAGCATATAGGGAAAACAAAAATTAAGCATTCAGTAACAATGTTAATGGTAGAACAGTGAATCTTCCTGTAAAGATATATCCTTGTTTTATGAAGTTCTCTTAATTTTTCCCAGACAACATAATGATGGATAATGCAGAGCACGACACCATCTAATCATACATGTTAAGTATGGCAGATTACAGGTATCGAGAGTAGTAGCCTCAGGTACGAGAATTATACAGAGGAACCATATCCAATAGCTCATTGCTAATGGTTAGACTAGATCTACACTATATAGGACATATACATACAACAACAAAGAGATGTATTTTAACAAAAAGAAACTTGGTCTCGAGGATACAGTGAATGACCTGAGAGAGGGTGCAAGACTCCGTCTCCAGTGAGGACATCTTCTTTTGCTTCTCTGCTATCTCGGAGCTGGTCTGGGCTTGCGCTTTGAGCATCTCCGCTGCCTCCTCGTTCAAACGCTTTATTTCCGTCCTCACTACCAACAGAAACAGTCGTCAGGGCTCGTTCGCGAGTTATGTACAGACTGTTGCCGGTATCATAACAGACAACAGTTTGTTGCTAAGGAGACAGCGCCGAAAAGGAATGACACAAAACGGGGCACGGATCAAACCATGAAGCATGAAGCATGATGCACTACGGACTCGCAGCGCGAGCCTTAGTAGTGGATCAGTTGACCGTCAAGGCGACAGACTTAGCGGCGCCCATGCGCGGGTAAATGGACATGGAGAGATCAGGCGGCTAACATACGCATGATCATTATTCTTCTAATTTTATTTTTTTTAATTTCTTTCTTTCTTTCTTTCTTTTTTGTTGTTGTTGTTGTTGTTGGAATTCAATTTCCTGGTAAAGTACGCATGGAGAAGATGGTCGGTGAAAGAAATCATAGAGACGAAACACGACAACCTAAGGGGCAAAAAGGCAAAAGAAACCGCAGAGGAGAAGAAGAGGCGGAGAGAAGCGAAGAGAAGTGAAGAAGGCAGACCGAGATTGAGATCGGTTTGCAAGGCGCCGATCGCGGTCTTCTGCTTCTGCTCCTCTACCGATCTCTTCGCCGCAGCCTCCTCGATGTCTATGTCAAACCACAAGTCAGAAATCGAATATCCCATGCGATATAAAAAAGGATGAAAAGAGAAAAAGGAAATGGTGCTTCCATTCAAAACCAGAGGAGAAGGGATGGTATGGATATAAACTACTTGCAACTCACCGTTTATCTGAGTTCGCAATCTCTTTACGTTCTCCATGTATTCCTCCATCTCCGATCCTCGCACCGTCCGACCCCCCCTTACTTCCTCGGTCGACTTCGTCCCTACGAGTAAGGATCAAAAGACGCAAGAACTGATAGAGACGGATGAAAAGCTTACGAAATGAATACACAAAAGGAGATTCAAATGGGAGAGGAACAAAAGGAAGAAGAGAGGCGGCGGCGTGTGAAGCGAATAGGATACCTGAAAGCAGTCCGACGCGGGGGGTTTCCAAAGCGCCGCTGGGAACTGCCTCACAAGAAATGTGTTGGTGTGGCTGGGGATCTCAACCAAGCAAAGAAGTGTTTATTTTAAAGGTGACAGACGGTTGATTTCAATCCCGATGATCTGATAAAACATTTATCACTTAAAACCAAAGATAATTTTTTTATTGAAAGCTATCTTAAAACCTCATCTTTTAATGGGTGATGATGACGTAATTATTGAAAGAGATAATAAACCCCCTTTTAAAGATCTATCAGTGAAAACATACCCAATCATACTAATATTTCAGGTGGATGTAAAGATCTATCAGTGAAAACACAGATTCCAAAATACCATAATCGACGAAAAAGAAATTAATTACACAACTTTGAAGAATCCAAACACATTATTTTACATCGAAATCCCAAAATTTTCTCATATCAGAAGTCTTCGGAAACCTGAGAGTAGCTACCCACTAGAAAAATGAGGCAAAGACTGAGTGGGTTATTGAAAATGATACACCAAAAACACTCGATCTATACCCAAAAGCCAAAAAGAAGCCTTAAGACGGCAACTGAGGAATTTAAATTGAGATGACACACCACAGAGAAACATCATTAATTAAACTAGAAAATGATGCTTTTGACAGGCCTCTCACGACAATAACCTAAGGATCATTCGTAATGATGCCACGGTGATATGGATTACAGTCAAAAAAATTTAAATAACAATCATATTTAAGTGCAAAACATTTAATGTTACAGGTTCCTGACAAAAGTCCACACATCACCCAACATGAACTCAACCCTTGAGGCGCATTCTCAGTTGTACTAGGATGTCTATACTCCCCCGAATCTAGTACTAGCTGATCTGATGACATAGAACCAAGCTGAATAGCATCATGCCATCCTATCTCCCATATGGGTGGTATCGGCCAGCACCACCACCACCACCACCACTATAGGCACCTCTACTGCCATAGAGTCCTGAGCTATAACCAGCTGGGGAATCATAACCACCTCCATAGCTAGAACCACCGTAGCCCCCTGCTTCACGGCCAAAGCCACCGTAACCACCCTCATATCCACCACCAAATCCTCCACCATATGAGCCAAAACGACTAGAATAACCAAGTGACGATTCTGCACGGTAGTCTCCTAAGCCACCAGCATAACCAGCATATCCACCACCATAATCACCAGCAACATTCCCATAACCACCATAGCCTCCGGGTCGAGGACCAAAACTTCCTGGTGTCCGGTAGGATGATGGGCCATAACCACCAGCACTACCAAAGCCACCATATGAACCACCATATCTGCCAACACTATCCCCAAAATGACGAGCCCTAGGTTCACCGTCAAAAGCAGAAGATGGGGCATTGGAAGGTTTCCTTGGTTCAGCCTTCTTAATTTCCACCTACAGTGAAACAACGAAGTCAATCATGGCCCTGCATGATAAACCTATTTAGGACATGTCACAGGCAAATACGAACAACTGCAGTACACCTAGCCCAAAATTGAAACAAACTAACTAATCAGCACGGTGAATCTGGTAATCTAGTCAGCTTAAGCTCTAACTGATGCAAAACCATGCCAATGCAATTTTAGACTTCTCACCAAGCACTGCACTAGACTCACCTTTGTACCAGCTAGATCAATCATATTTCCCTTTTTCGCCAATAAGTCATCTACATCTTTTTCCTTCTCAAAGAGTATAAAGCCAAATCCACGAGATCTGTTGGTTGTATGGTCACGAATAATTTCATGATCCTCCACCCTCCCAAACTCAGAAAAGAAGTTCTTGAATTCATCTGTTTGGATTAAAGCAAAAGGTCAAGCCCCACTGCTGTCAACATGTCTGGCCAAATAGTTACAAAGCATACAAAGATAAGGACATATTATTACCTTCTGAAAGAGTTGTTGGTATTCCACCAACAAATATTTTCCTTGTCTTAAAATCCTTCAAAGGAGCAGCACCTTTTGGAATAGTTCTTTTTATTTCCACCTGAAAAGTCAAGATCATGGGGAGTCAGATTTCACAAATCGGCATATTAAGCGTTAAGAAACAAATACTGTAACAGACATTATGTATGAAAAATGGTACTCGAAGATGATTTACCAAAAAAAATAATGAACCAGTAAAGAAATGATCTTATACAAAACTTTAGCATCAAAGAATAGGTATTGGTCTCATTCAAATAAACAAATTCTTTAGTACTACAAAGAAATCTCACACCACAAATCCATAATATATATTGTAAGAGGGAGAGAGGGAGAAAAAAGGTAAAAGAATCAAACAAGATAAAAATTCATAATAAATGGGACCATATGAGACCAGATGAAGGCCAACATATGAGACAATGTACATGTCAAGCCAACAAAAGCAAATGACCCCAGTAAAGCAGTTAGATATTTACATAGGTACAAAACAAAACAAATAACCACCCCGAAAGGTAAATAAAACAATAGACTACAATCACCACAATAGAACATACCGTTTTTCCACTGAAGACATGTGTGTCATCAATAACTCTGTCAACAACAGAAGCATCTTTATAGGTGATAAACCCAAAGCCTCTTGGCTTGTTTGTAATACGATCTTTCATTATCACCGAATCTACTATCTCTCCATATATCTCAAAGTGCTTCACAAACGTTTCTGCCATATCACCACAGGATTAAAAATAAATAGGACCAGAAAAACAAACTAACAAACATTCATAAATCTTGTTATGTAATGATGTCCAACATTCAAAGCCTTGGGCATTTTCCAAAAAACAAGATAAAGAAGAGTCTAAATGAAAACATGTATCTCAAAAAAGACTTTAAAAGAAAATAGTATCAGCTCTAGGTAAGATTTTGGCATCACGAAAGATCAGATGGCAATAAATTGTGAAATACAGTGCATCAATCACCAATTGGACAAATTTATAGATTGATATTGGTACAATGCCATTTTATTTTATTTTTTTGTTGTTTTGTTAAATGATATAAGGTGGTACTGGTCAGGATACCAATACTATATTAATCCATAGGTTATTGAAACCAGACCAAGAATTAAATCTTTGTGCTTGACAACTCTAACTTCAAGCAGGTTATCCACAGAAAATAGAAAACCACATTGGAACAAAAATAAAACAAAATGATCGAAATACCAGTGTCTATTACATCTATATGATGGATCATATTAATTGAATTACCAAAATTCCAACTTAGATTCAGATTAGGTTCCAGTGATGATGTGATAACATCACTATCACTTCAAATTAATACTGGAACAAGAAATTTAATTACTTTGGACTTAAAGGTCAAGTAGAGGGCCAGAAGCATGGCCCTTAGACTGAGTTTTAGAAGGCCACAAACCACAAAATAAAGAATAGGACACCTACAAAAGGTGAGACACATTGAATCCCAAGATACGACGAGGTTCAATGTTCAAGATAAGCACATTAAACATGACCAACATATTGGTAACAAGTGCTCATAGAATCAAACTAGAAAAGGTTCGAGATGCATCTCATAATAGTATTTGACGTAATCAAACAAAACTGTGTAGGAAGTTCTAGACCAATATTTATCCACTCAGACAAGAACTAGGCATGTTATCGTGTTGCCACATCCAGTAATTAGGATAGCCATACAATTCTTTGTCATGCTAATTGCACAAAATTGATCCTCCCTCAAAAGGCAAAATTTAGCAACATCTCTAAGGATACTTCCAGCAGTTGTGCCATTCAGACATCCATTCCCATTATGTGGATCTTCCTTCAATAAGCTTTCTCAACCTTCCAGCAGTATCTTTTGATTGCTGATGGTAACCCCAGAATTACAGATAAAATGCAACTATATGGAATAGTGACTAATCATCTGTAATGCTTTCAACATATGATCTAACATGCACATCATAAGGGCTAGCATCGTTACGTCGCCATAGCATAGAGAAACAACATAATCGTTTCTGTCACAAACTAAGCCAAATTGACCTACAGATTGCCTACATCAGATGTCCTTGGGGGTGCAATTGCCTCACACAACCAAACTTGTGAAGCACTTAGATCCTAGTGTCCTAGCTTGACAAGAACCAAGTTCTGATCTTGCAAGAGATATATATAAGACACACAGAGGGAAGTACTTAAAAATTTTTGATATGGAAATGAAATCCAGTAAAAATGTTGTGAACAACATAAAGAAAAAACACATTACATGTCTCCCAAAAATGGCTTCCTGATGATTCTTAAAAGCAATGACGCCAAAACAAATAAAACGCTGAGAATGATAGATTAAATAAGAGGTTAGATCCAATGAAGTGGCTTTCCCAAAACGCAACCACATTCATTATGAAAAGCCCAAACAAGCCACTAAAAGTGGAGAAAATTACACATGTCCCAAATGGATTTGTGAATAATGATGCGATGAAATGAGTCAAGGGTAAACAGAAAAGATTAGACATTGGGTAGAAACATACAGGACGTCTAGACCAAACATAAACAGCTTCAGATAAGTGCAACCTGACCCGGTACAGCAATTTATAGGATTTTTATCCGCCTTTGGAAAGGTAAAAATAATGATAGGAGAGAGGAAAAGAGGAGTTGGAAATTTCTTCTAACCAACGTTTCTATCCTAAAATCGGATGCTGATAGTATGAAGAGAAATAATAAAAAACTTAGGTTTAATTATCTTCTTCCATCCACGACGTAGGCAAACAGAAACAGCAAAAAGAAAAAAAAAGAAAAAAAAAAAGACTCCTCTTTTCTTTTCTTACTCAAATGCGTTTATGTGATCGATTTTAGCTATATATATTTAGTGGATAAGTGGATCTTAAGAGAGCATGCATCAAAATAAAGCTCCAGCTTTAAACACACCGATTTAAATCTCCAACTAAAGCTACAAGGAGAAAAATAATGAATGGAATAGAAACAAGCAATTCCGAGACCAATCGATCAGGTTTCATCACTGATCACAAAAAAAAAAAAAAAAACTCACCAAGCGTCGTATCCTTCGGAAGCCCTCCGACAAAGATCTTCCTGCAGGAAAATAAAAGATAAACGAAATAAACACGAAAGCCTCCGTATAAGAGCGGAAGAAGAAGACCCGACGAGACGAAGAAGAGGAAGAGAACGCGGTCGATAAAAAAGGAAACTTACGCGGGACTCGCACCGTCGTGCTCTTGCATCCTGGAGCCCATGGCGAAGGACTCGCAAATATCTCCGATCCTGGTGTTAGGGTTTCTTTGAGGAGGTCGCTGCGGAAAGGAGGCCGATGGCCAGCGATCGCGAAGACTTTTAGGGTACGGCATCGGGGACATAAAAGGTGGGTTTAATCAGACCAGTGAAGAAACCAACCACATGTACGACTCGAGTTCGATTCGGGTTCGGGTTCGGGTTCGGATCTCGTTCGGATCTGAATTAAGCGACTAAGATTAAAGTTGAATATTCTATGGTATCAGGAGAAGAAATAAAAATATAATTATAAAAATACACATAAGGGGATTCCTTCAATATCAATCAACTCTATGAGTATATTATTTATGAATTAAAAGCGAAGAAATAACCTCTAAATAAATAGAGGCTAATTATATATTACCTCTTGTAATTAGATATTTTTAAATTTTATATTAATTTTTTATAAAATATTTAACTCCACTGTTTCAATAAATTTTTTTTAATCATATGAAATTATCTTTTTAGCTGAATCTTAATATTTCACTTTCATAAATATAGAAATTTTAATATAATTTTTAAAATTATAAATATCGAGATACTAAAAATAGTTAATTATAAAAAAAAATTATAATTAACCTAAATAATAATTATTTATGAATTCCAATTTGATAGTCAGAAATAATAATAGCTATATATATATATATATATATATATATGGCAGATATTATTGACTAATTACAATTAATTTACAGTAAAAAACATTAGTAAAGAATCACCCATAAACACTGGAAGTAATCCTCATGAAAAGTTAATGAATCTGATTTGATCACACACAGTCAAAAGCAATCACAACCTTCCTTCTTAGGAAGATGCATAGAGTTGGATTACCTCGGCCTTTCTTGGTTCGCTTCCTGCGTCCCTCGTCTTTCAAAGCATAGGTTTCAAAAGGCTATATCCATTTTGATTGGGAGAGACAAAAATAAGACACATAAAGAATATACCACTCTAATATTTCAATTAATAACTTCATGGAATCTTGTTAAGCTCAATGCAAATTGTCCTGCCGTAGCAAGACATCAGCATGGTTTATGGATATATGAGCAAGAACCTTGGTGATTAATATGAGTCATCAACCACACGACAGAAGAAAGAAAGAAAGAAAGAAATGATCAGAAAATAATGCACGAGAAGAAAACAAAAGCCAGAGATGAAAGAGATTAAAGGCCTCAGCTATTATTCTGCAACTCACAAGAATTCCTCTTTATAGATCTACATTTAGTCTTCGATGAATTCAAAGTGGAATATGAAACAGGATAGGGAAGCATTGTGCACCAGATTTCTGGGTAATGCTCAATTGGAAAGCCCATGCAGTCATAATCTTCTCCGGGAAGAATAATCTCCGAAGCATACCAAACATAACGCTCCCTTGTGGCAATAGATTAAGGCTTGACTACTCCATGCAGCTTCCACCCCCCAAGGCCAGCCAGTGTAAAAGCCTGCATTTAGAGAACACCAACAAGTTGATCATTCTGAGACAAGTGTAGTTTTCTTCACTGTATTTTTAACAAGTGCAAATAAAAAAATAAAAAAAAGGTACTCAAAACTCAGAAGGTCAGAGTACCAAATTTGCAAATTTCTGAAAGCATGACAACAATTGCCTCTTGGTACTGTAATTTCAGGCAGAGAAAAAAATTAGTGCTGGCATGATACATACGATGATATTATAGTAATTTAGAATAAAACAAATACGGTGCTTCAACTGATGCATTTTATGAGAGAAAAAGAGAGTGAGAACCCATTCTAAAGTTTTGCTATGCCAAGAAGTTTAAACCATTTTGTTTTCACATCACATCAAAGGAGAGCTTGCAAAGTGTAAAAGTTAACCATATAAAATGCAAAAAATATTGAATCATTTCTGGAAAAATTAAAGTCACTCAACCTCTTGAGTACGTAAAACCACTGTGCCAGGGACCTAAAACTACATGAGGTAATCTTCAACTTCCTCTGTACACTCAATGACAACGAAAGTTTAATATATCACCATCCAAGATAAAATCAGAACCATTATTCCAGATCTCTGTCTGAGGACAAACTGAATAAGCATTCTCACAAAATGAAATACCGATCCTCTTTGTCAAGAATGTAGTTTGCTTTAAGTTTCCTTCTATATAATGACAATGTCCTCCCAAGAGCTAAAGGATAATACATGCAAATGAAATTCCATTAAGAAATTTGGTGGCTGATTGTAACACAGAAAAAAAATCTAGCAGATAACTGGTTCATATAAGTTGCTTTAAAACAAATAAAATATCTAACGTCATTCTTTTCTGCTACATTTTTTAAGAGAGTCAAGAAGGGTCTACCTAGGATAGTGATTTTGTCTAGCCAGGAAGCAGAGGCAGATCACGATGCAAGAACTTGAAAAGCTTTGGAGAAACAGAAATCAATAGCTTTTTATCTTCTAATAAGCATCTTTCTATCCATCAAAAGAAAACTTCCCCCAGAAAAGCTTATCCAGTAATGTCATATGTACTAATGGACAGAAGCAGTAAAAGTTGCTAATTTTCTTTCTTCACATTATAACAATTACTGCTAGACAAAACCTGATTCCTTGTTTCTCAATCTTAGGAATGTAAAATTTATTCCTGTTTTCCCATAAAAATTTCACTGACATCAAATCCCAACCTAATTTTATCCCTTTTTACCTTATACCCTACAGTAACTCGAAACACTTTTTGATCTTTTACCAATGTTTTTTCCTTGACAACTAGGAGATCATATAAGACAGATAACAACTCCCATCTCCAGAAACCTACTTGTTAATCTAATTCACTTGACTTTCTACCATAAGATTCTCTCTCAGTAAATCTTTGACAAGCTTAATACAATAACCAAGATCTTAGACATCATCACCGTCATCATATTCTATTTTTTTTTAAATATGGAATATTTACATCCACCTCTTGTGAGCAATTATGTTGCTATTCTAGTTAAAAATATGACAAATAACTTCCAACTGAGATATGAGCTGACCTCATCCCATGAGTTCCCAGTGGCTTCAAGCAAAGCTGCATTACACGTCTTTAGCTCTACTGTAGCACCAGAAAGCATTGATGCTGCTTCTTCCCACCCCCTATTATGCCCCATGCACCTGTAGAGTGGTCCTAACAATGAGAAGCTTGCAAGACATAGTTTGGGAATATAGATCTAATAAATAATGGATTATGTCAAAAGTCTAATATTACTAAACAGAAAAACTACAAAACTTGTTGACTCACATCACTGTGAGGATCTCATCTCTTGAATACTCACAAATAGCCTTTTGAAGGTGCTCAGCAGTCTGACCATCCATTGCTGCAATAGAATAAAAGCTTGGCACAAAATATACCTCCGCTTCAGAAAATCCCTGTGCATGCTCTTGCATGATTTGAAGAGTTTCCTTTGTTCGGGTGGAATCACTGTAAAAAAATAGCAGAGCAAAATTTGAGATACACAAGTCAGAAAACTACTGGATATCATATCCTTTTCACCATTGCCAATAAAGGAAGCACTCCAATGATGACAAAGATCAACAAGCTTCGGAGGATTTCATGGTCAGCAAGAAAATTAGTTAAAAGCATGAAAATGAATCTGTAGCAGTATAGTACCAGAATATTCCAGATAAAAATGGCAACCCACACATAAAAGACTAATAGCAACATCAATGGGTTGCTATTAGTAAGTATGTTGTAAAAGTTTGATGGTAAAAATTTTCGAAAGCTGTAGTAAGTATGATGTAAAAATATGTAGGTGCCGATGCTCAACTAATAGCAACATCAGGCACCCCTTGTACAATGTCAGCTTCATCAATTTGAAAGCCCCACTACCAACAATGATATTAGATGAGCTTTAAAACACAATCTATTTTCCAAAGAAGCATCAACGGGTCAATAATTCTTTTGTAATTGGATCTAGGTCAATAATTTGCAACTGTCTGAGAGATAAGCAGAATAATTAAAACCTCTATGACTTAAGGTTTGTAAGTAGCTGACTCATATTTCAAGCAAGACTATTAATGATAGGCAAAGATAATGCTCTTTCATATTCACTCCCTTTATCTTTCAAATCCTTCCCTTGGTTCCTGTACCAGTAGAGTTTCTAATTATATTTCTTTATGAAAATCTTGTTCCACCTTCTATGTATTTACTATGTCCAACTTTAATTCAGTAGTTCGTATTGCAAGGTTGCCTCTTTACAACCTAGGTTACCGAGGTTCTAGTGATGGAAAAGTCTTCCTACTTGCAAGGGTAAGACTGCAAACATTTAAGCTTCCCAAATTCTACAACTTTTGTTTTGCCAAAACCTCGATCTATCTTGTACTAAATTAAGATAATTTAATAGTTCACTAGAACTTGCAATTTTGCAATTTTCAGCAACCACTTTGCTAGTGAGGTAAGGCTGCCACATTAGCAGGAGTCTTTCAGATCACAAAAATTTGCAAGGGGTCCCTTACATGTCATTATCCTTGTTTTCTTTTTGTTCAATTTCAGTTCTTGCACATCATTTTAGTGACACTAGAAAACGTTGTAATTACAAATCATCAGGAGATTATTTGCATGTGCACATAGACATATAGAGCGTACAAACAACAGGCAATGCAAGGATTTAAGGGCAACTAGATATTAAGAAAAAAAACCTGGACAAAACGAGCTCAGGTATCCAGCCCAGTTGCTGAAGCTTGCTGGAGATACTGATTGCATCTTTTCGGCCAACTTTACTTATTGGGCGATCATGGTCTGTAAAATATTAGAAAATTTTCAAGTCACAAATCCATTCTTCCAAATCTGAAAACAAAAAATACTTCCAAATTCTTATCATTTTAAATTTCCAACTGGTATGAGGGAAAACAATTCAAATGACTTATCCTAAAGTAGATATTCAGAAAACCACAGTTCCTACAAAAAATACTTCTTTTCCATGATACATGAGTCCTCTTCTGTATTTTATATCCAATTCATCCTTCAGTGTTGGCATTCTTATGGTCCTTTAGTATGTAACATTTTGCATTGGAAAAAGTTGGATATTGAGATTACTCAGTAACCAGCGAGCCAAATTAAGAAACAGATGGATTACTGACAACCCGAAACCACATCAAACGGATGAAATCAGCAGGAAGGCAGTATTTTGATACCACTATAAAGGGAAATGGTACCGAGATCCAATCTTGGGTTCCAACAAACAATTAATGGAGGAGGAGAGAAGGAAGAGACATGTTGGTACCTTTAGTGAAGCGATCACCAATCCTGCTATCGGCGTGACGGAGGAGGATGAGGCGGCGGCGGCGGGTGAGAGGCGCAGTGGAGGCCTCGTCGCGGACCTCCGGGTCGGCGGTGGAGACGGAGATGGATTGGGCGCGGCGTAGGGAGGGGCTTCTCGGGGATGCGGATGGGACGAAGAGGGAGGGCGTAGGGAGGGCTGTGCCTACGCCACTGCCGCCGCCTCGGCAGCAGCAGCAGACGACGCTGCCTCTCATCGTCATCATCTCGTGGCAGCAACACGCAGAAGAGACCAGAAGTGAAGCGTCAAAAACACACTATTGTCTAACGATAGCACCCTAGCAATAAAAATAAAAAATAAAAAAAGAAAAGAAATCAATCACTTTAGCACAAAAATTGATGGAAAAATAGTCGGAAAAAGTCTTAAGAAATTTTTTATTAGCACTTCATTTTTAAAATATTAGAGTCGTTTCTTTTTACTATTGATAATTTTTTATTATTCATAACCTCTTAAAAAATTAATTAAAAAATTTTTATTTATAATTTCTTTGATTCTTAATTTTTTTTCCTTTTCCATATCCTATCACCTATCCTTTGGTTAGTAATCCCTAACCCATGATCCAAACCAATTGTCATTCTCTCACACTATCCTCCTTAGAGGAGGAAGAAGAAGAGGAGGAGAAGGATAAAGAACAAAAAGAATAAGAGGGGCGACGAAGAAAAAAAATATTTATGTTCATTTATGAAAGGATAGATGATTATATATTAAAAAAAATTAAATATATTTATAAATAGTAATCATATTTTTCAAAAAAATAGAATATATTAAAAAAAATAATATTACATTTGCTTCTATCCAATTTGTTTTTGTCTCCCCCTCACATCATCGTCCGTCGTCCTCACCTCTCCTATTCCTCTATTATTGTTATTGAAATGTGGTAAACAAAGGGTGAGAGCTATAGCTATGAGTAAGGATAAACGTGTGCAACCACAAATTAAGAAGGAGTGGGTTGCAAGTGAGGATAATAAAGATGAGAGTGTATAGATTGTTATCGATAATAGCAAAGAGGGTGGGATACGGTGGAAGGAATCATCATTAGATTAAAAATAGATGGTGGATAATTCATCGTAAGCTTCGAGGGAGTAGGTGAGGTAAGGTTATCGAAGTCCATTTACGAGCCAAAGTACGATGAAAAGAAAATAAAGAGGATTTGGGAGTAAGCTTGAGAGATGAACTCATACCATAACTATGTTGCACTTGTTGCAAAGGCATTGGTACCTCTCAATGAGAATTTCTCAAAATTAAGGGTTTTTTTCAAGAATTTTCCCAAATTTGATTGGTAAATATATTTGAAAATATTTTTTAAAAAGTCTCACAATTTAATTTTTTTGAATCAGATTTTTTTTCCCCCTCTTGCATATGAAAGGTCCCTATCTCATAAAAATAAATATTTATGGGAGTTTAAGTAGTGTCTTAGATGGAAATTAGGATAATTTTGAGACATGTCAAAAAAAATTAATAAAATATAATAAATCTTTTTTTGTCCACTTAGTTTTAAATATATGTTTATATTTATAAAAAATTTTCATCTATTGCATACGAACGACAATAAAAAGGGGTGAGATATAAAGTTATAGTGCACTTAAAATTATAAATCATAAATACTAATTATTTTGGATCGATTATATATATATATATATATATATATATATATATATATATATATATATATATATATATATATATCTTTTGATGTCATTGAAATATGTAAAAAGCCTGAATCCAAAAACAATATGATAAAATGTTTATACAAATACAACGGAAAGTAATGTCTCGGTTTCTTCCTGACTCGATTTACTGCAGGTGGGATTCATACAACTGCAACTTTATGACCCTCCCTCGAGCAAATAAAGATGTTCTTTTTTTCCTGTTGATTCATCAAGAACACAGTGAAGTAGCAGCAGGAATCGAGGGCAATGGCAGCGGATTCAGGCGTGACAGCGGCGTGCACCGCAATGGTTTCGCCCTCGGAAGCGTCAAGCCTGGCCCTTCCGCCATATCCACCACCGTTCCACCGTCACCAACCTTCCACTCGAAGCACTGTATCATCGCTCCTACCGTAGACTGGACGAGTTGCAAGGCCAAAGAAGCCCCAGGACAGCCTCTCCTTCCGCTTCCAAACGGTATTAGCTCGAAATGCTGCCCTCTAACATCCATGGCCTCTTCCCCCTTCTTCTCCATGAATCGTTCTGGGTAGAACTCGAGTGGATCCGACCAGCGCTCGGGGTCTCTTCCGATGGCCCACACGTTGACGAACACCGTCGTGTTCGCCGGTACATCGTACCCGTCGATCTTGCTGTCGTTGTTGGATCGTCGTAAGATGAGTGGGCCTGTAGGGTGCAGCCTCAGCGTTTCCTTGACGATGGATTGGAGGTAAGGCAGGTTGGGTATGTCGGACTCCTCCACCAGCCTGTTCTTGCCGACGACTGCGTCCAACTCTTCTCTTGCCTTGTGCAGTATCTCCGGGTGGTTGATGAGCTCTGCCAGCGCCCATTCCATTGTGATCGCCGATGTGTCGGTGCCAGCAACGAAGATATCCTAACAAATGGCTCAATTACTTCATTTCTAAGAGTTTGCTATTTGCAATCACTTATTTAGTACAATCATTTAAAAATAATAATAATAGATAGTTTTACTAAATATAACTCATCAATCAATCATACTCTTATTTTCTCAAAAATATCATATATCTTTTGGGCTATTATAAAAATACCAAAAATATCATCTTTTTCTGTAATCCAACATCTTAAATCTTAAAAATATATAAATTTATCTAAAAAATATAAAAATAATTTCTTATCTTTTTTTATCTTTAGATAATATTTTTTTTATTATTTAATATAAACGATAATGAAATATGATCCGAACAAGAAATAGATATATATGTTGGAATTAAGTGATAAATCGATTATATTTATGTTTATATACATATAAATATCTAGAAATATTAAAAAAAATTAAAATGAGTTGATATTAAAATAGTAAAGAAATTGTTAATAGAAATCACCCATTTATGTTGCAAAATTAGGATAGTCGTACCAAAATAAAAGCTTTGATGTTGTCTCTGGTCAACCTCGCCTCTGCACTCGCATCCTCAGATATATCAATCAACATATCCAACAAATCCTTCGCTCCACCTCCTATTTCCGTCCTTTTTGCCCTCGCCGCCTCCTTGTCCTTTAAGATCTTCTCCATCATGCCGTCGAACCTCCGGCGGACGTCCTCAAGCCTCCTGTCAAAACCTTGCAAGTCCAAGTTCTTGCAGAGTCCGATGTAATCAGCCAAGTTAAACTTGCCCGTCAGCTCGGAGATCTCCTCAACCAGCTTTCTGACCTCCCCAGACTCCCCTTCCGAGCCCGAACACCTGCGGCTCATCGTCATCCGGGAGATGACATTGTTTGTGAACCTTATGAGTTCGCCTCCCATGTCAATAGCTCGCCTTTCCTGGGACTTGTCATGCAAGGTTTGCACGAGGGCCACGACCTCTTCGCGCCTGATGGGAAGGAGTTGGTCGAGGGTTCGGCCACCGAGGAGCTCAGACACGCACAGTTTCTTCATGAACCTCCAGTACGCGCCATAGGGCGCGAAGGAGAAATCAGATAAGCCATAGGTGAGGTAGCTCACGGCCTTGGAAGGAGGGCGGTCGGAGAATGACAAGTCATGCGTTCTGAGGAGCTCTTTGGCGGTCGCGGCGGATGAGGCCACCACGCAGCGGACGGATCCAAGTCGGAGGTGGATCAAGGGGCCATGGCGAGTGGAGAGCTTGTGGAGAGCTTGGTGTGGGATCGGTGCAAGGAGATGAAGGTGGCCAATTATGGGCAGGCCGATTGGGCTTGGCGGGAGGCGAAGCCGCCTACGGGGCCTGACGAAGAAGAGGAGGAAGGAGAGGACAAGGATGAGGAAGAGACCGGTGATGGGCTTGATGAGCTCCTCCTCTCCTTCCATGGCACACACCATGGGAGAAGACTTCAAAGATGGTACATTCTTATAGGCACGGCACCACTTTGAGCTTTGGAGTCGACGAATGAAATCATAATATATCATACGTATAATAAATAATATTAGGACGGCTGAAATGATTGGATGACGAAAGAATTATTTATTAGTTGGTTTGAATGGGTGCAATAACAAAAGAATAGTCAATCCACATCGAAAGATGTTAGTATAAGTTTCTATCTATAATCTAATTAGGACGGTCGAAAATTACTGGACGACGGAACAAAAAAGTCAATTGAGCTCTTAGAACACATTGAAAAAGATAATTTCAACAACTCACGTATTAGAAAAGAAGGGATATTAAAATTATCTTTTTGCTCATCAATTTTACGTCGATCTAAGACATGATGTCGTGTGTTGTATTTTCCGTAAATGTAATTGACGACATTATGACAAATGAGATTTTTTATTTTACTTTCAATATAATTTTTTTAAATATAACAATTATAAAATGATTAGGGTCTAATTATAAAGATAATATATAATTAGCTCATTTTTACGGACGGGGATGCCATTGGAACCCTTCCGACAAGTTCGACTTCCGCGCATCCATTGGTCTTTCGTCGTTGGAATACATACAAACAGACCAAGAAAAGGAATGACTGAGAAAGGCTAATGAAAAGCTATTCAACTTTCTTCAGCGTCGACTGTTACCATATTTATTTGTTGTTGTATGCTCTGCGAAGAAGATGTTCTTTATAGCGTCAAGGTGACATCTACACCACCAGCGCGCAGGCTCAGCTCCAAATCGACATCGTCATCATTATAATCATCTTCTTCATCGACAACTAGTCCAGTCCCTTCCGGCGACCGCAAGTTCGCAACATCTTCGTCTATATAACATGTAACTCCTCCTGTATCATCTGCAACACCTTCTTCCACATCATCCATGTCATGAGCAATCCGATGCACGCCCAGCTCCAGCGAGCTTGTGAAAATTTTGTTACAAGCCAAGCATACAAGTGCCTGTCGGAGCCTGAGCTCGGTGTCGACGGGAGGTACGTAAACACTAGCATCGTCGGCGTATCGTAGCCATCCGAGCCTAAGTTCGGTATCAACGAGTGGAGCATTATCATCACCACAGTCGCTAAGAACGCTCTCTTGGCTGCTCATCTTCTGCGGTATCTGTAGATATTAGTGAACACGATCGATTGTTTCTCTGAGCTCGAGAAGAGGGTTTATTTATGGTATCTCCAATGGAAACGGACTATCGTTAGGAGGGACTGATGGTATCACTTGCGTTCACTGAACTTGGTGGGACTTGCAC